GCATAAATTTCAAAAGTCCTGTAGCCACATAATGTTATGACATGTTTAATTAAGATAACAAATTTCAAAAGTCTTTATTTCTTTATCAAACTCCATGCTGGGTAAAAAAATGTAAAGGGAGGGAGTAATTTTTATTCGTAAGAATTAGAACAAGTTTCATTCGAAGTTGATGATAAGCTATAATTACGTATTTTAGTTGCTTATTACACTCTAATTTACTGCACTTTAATTGAGTTTGAGCTTTGATCGCTATTGTTTTGCACTAATGGTGTGTTTTATGCCTTGTAAGAGTGATTCCGAGCTATGTAGATGTTATAGAATGAATCAAGTGATTTGGAGCTTTGAAGTCTGAGTAAAAGCCCAAGAAATTAAGTCGGGATCGTGTTCGGGGATCAACGGATGATAGTTAAGAACGAACGACGAATCGAGTAGGTATATTGCACACTGTCTAGTAAAATGCACATAACTTTTCGCTCAAAACTCCATTTGGGCTCCACATAAGGTTGGCAAGCTAACTCAAAGGGCTCCAATTTTCATATTTTACATATTTCCAAATTCCAAACAAAATAGGGTGAAAAGTGCGCGTCAAATGCTGGCCGCGCAAATGGGGCAGAACACTGATCAATATGCGCGGCCCATCCGCGGTTGATCCGCGGCCGCGCACGTCTGGCCGAGAAAAGTGTCCTTTTTCGCAGAGGAGAAGGTATAATTGTTTGGACCCAACCTTACTTGGTATATATACATAGAAAAACGATATTTTGAGGACTTTTGACATAATTTAGACCTAAGGAAGCTAAGGTGACCGGGATTCGACCTAAGGAGGCAAGAACACACTAGGAGCAAGGCGGAGAATTCTTTTATGAGTTTTTCACTTCTTTCTTCCTATTTCCATTATTGGTTATGAATTCTAATATTGTAGTTTTGCATAATATTATGAATAACTAATTTGTTATCCAGGGTTTTGATGGAACCTATTGGAGGATGATTTTCCTGTTACGCTAATATATTTTTGCCGTAGTATTTTTTCCTAATTGTTCAACTACGTTTATATTATTTTTAGTTGAAGAGCTCTCAATCGAATGTGTCTATATAGTGTGTATTACTTGGGAAAAAGTGCATATTTAGGTAGTTGTTGAACAACATCACTCCTAACGTATATGAAGGATCAATACGAAGGGTTTAAAGGTGGGACTAGGCATAGCGAAACCTTGGGTGCGATCCGAGTAAGCCGTACTTAATGTCAGCTAGCATAATTCGGGAGAATATGTCTAGTAAATTGTGGTAATTACTCGGAAGAGAGTTACGATAGTCAGAGCGCTCATGATCGGTAGAGAATACTTAGGCGAATTTATAGAAAATATAGCGGGAAGGATTCCGACAATAGGGAAAATCATAACTCTAGACCTCCTTAATCTTGTCTCTAACCCTTAGTATCTTTAGTTGTTAATTTACTATTTTAATTTGTTAGTTAATTAGTTAAACGCAAGAATCTTAATATCTATAAGTTAGGAATTGTTCAAGCTTGTCTTCTTGGTGATATTGAACAACTGTAGTTAAGCCTTAGTTCTCTGTGGGATTCGACTCCGGACTTGTAAACTGGATTATATTTGCAATGACCGCTTAGCCCTTTTTATAAGGCATAGTTGGGCATGATCAAATTTTGGCGTTGTTGCCGGAAAACTAACGGTGTAGTTGTAGCTGTATATATTTCTAGGTTGCGAGTTTGAACTTTTATTTTGTTTTATTTTGTTTTGTTTTTTGTATTTTTTTATTTTATTATAACCGTTGTTTTGAGAAACATGACATCTTGGAATTATGGGAATTTAGGTGTAGATAATTTTACTATTGATCCTCATAAATATTGTAAAGGAAACCACCCGTATCAAAATTATCAAAATATTCTTGAGAGCGAGTTATGTACACCAACTCAATCTTATTTGTGGAATGTGTGTGATGTGTGTGGTGGTAAAAATGGTCACTTTTATGGTTGTGCTTATATTTCATATCTTCCCCCAACCCCTTACTATGATGGTTCTATCTTTTCTTATGAAGTTAACAAGAATAAAGAACCTGTGGATGCAGACCTGAAGGAGATCAAAGATAAGTTAAAGTGCCTACTGGAATAAAATAATGAAAAACAATTGCAGATAGAAAGGCAAGAGGTAACTATTCGCAACTTGGAGGCTCAAGTGAGTCAAGAGGTTGAAGCTTTTAATGCTCAACAAGCCAATTTTGGGGATATGAGCCAAAAAGAGCGTGAATTTGAGGTGTTAACTGAGGAGGTCAGAGTAGAACATCAACAACCTAGCCAACTACAATTTGAGGATGTCAATATTGTAGAAGTGAGACTAGAGTCAGCCAAGGACATTGAGGATATAAATTTTGTTGACTCTAGTATCATTGAGGTTGAGGATGCTGGAGGTCCTAAAGTTCATGTGTTTGAGCGCATTGGTTCTCACTCCAAATATTTTTCTACATTGTGCTTGGATGACGATATGGAAATCGAGTCATCCGAGTCGATTGAGGAGTCAAGGAATGAGGAACAATGTGCCTACATTCTGCATTTTTTTTTTTTTGCCAAAAAGACAAGATTACATACCTCATCTAAAATCCAAGAAGTGTAGAATAATACAATGGTTGCTTGGGCCAATTAGATTTGTTCCTCCACCCCTGGTCCTTGGAGCATAGTCGACAACTTGATGTCAAATTGGGGGTTCAATTCATAAGCTCGAGGTAGAGGCAAAAAGTGATTCGTGTCGTGCCACGACGTTAAATCAAGTGCTTGTTGGGAGGCAACCCAACTTTATTGCTTTTTTTTTATTATTTTTAATTGTATTATTTTTGTAGTGCCAATATTTTATTTTCTAGGAGCATGGAAAGCAAAGCTATTGGAAGGATGCAACAACAAACCAGATGGTTGGAACTAAGTGTGAGGTACCCACACGAAGGACCAAGCCTGAGAGAAGTCTGAGTACCCTATGAGCTGCTAGTGCTTCAGTCTTTGGCCTACCAGGGAGATTCTCTTACCCTCTTATAGTTATGATGTGCATTGAGGATAATGCACAATTTTAAGTGTGGGGTGATGAGATTGTCTTGGTGACTTTTCATGCTACTTTAGTTGTGTTAGTTTAATTAAATAATATTTTTTTTAAAGATTGGACTTTTTTCGACGATGGACCTATTAGACAATTTTCTTGAGGGATTTAAGTCTAAAGAAAAAAAGACAAAAAATATTTTCTTTTGTTAGGTAGTGTAGCAATTACCCCTTGGTTTTTCTTTGTGCCACGGTTCTTTTCCAAAGGTTTTATTTGAACCGGGTGTAGTTAGTTTTATTTTTTTAGGAATAGGAGCCAGTGTGAAATGAATTGAATCGAAGCGATATCTCTTGATTATGTTATGCCTTGAGAATAGTGAGTACTTTGGTTGTGACGCTTAGGCTCAGTTCTTGACTCTTGTAGAAGTACCTTAAATTGTATGATCTTAACTTTGCTTAACTGCTTTGACTAGAGTGTCTTGATGAGTCCAATCCTGAGTGAGTTATGTGCCGTGTGTGTGTAAGATTTTGTGTTATTCTGTGCATTGTATTTGATGTCTAGAATTTGCCCCGTGTGTTTGCAAAGTAAAATAGTAGTTTTGTTCAGTCTTGAAAGTAATATAGGCGTTTCTTTGTTGAACCAGATATGTATATTTTACCTACCTAATTGTTATGTAACGTAGTTAACCCCTTTGAGTCTGTAATCCTGTTTCTTTGGCAACCATATTGCAAGCCTTACCCCCTTTGTTTGAATTAACCATCTATTTGAACCTTTCAACCTCTCATGAGCACTTGAATTGTATAAACTTTGTAAAAGTTAAAGTATGGGTGGTTGGTTTGGCTTTTGAGTGGAACTACTGAAATAAGGAGAAAGGTGCATTGTTTTGAAAAAGTAAGAGCCACTTGAATTGAAAAAGAAAGAAAAGTAAAAAATAGTTGTATTGCTGTGAAAAAAAATATTCCTTGATAAGTGGTGACTCTTGATGTAATTGTGCTTAAATAAGTTGAGAGTTAATGCATATTGATGTGAAGGTGGAGCTATGGTTTGACATAAATGTGGGGTTTCAACTGTTAAAGTGTATGTATTAAAGTGCTTAGGGAGGTGTAGTAACTCTTATATCTAAATGTATCCTACCCGACTCGCAACCTACATTTCAACCAATTAAAGTCCTACTTGATCTTAGACCGAATGAACTCGATTAGTAGAGTAGTACACTACGAGAAAGCCTATGGTGCATCTTTTGTGGCATATGAATATTATTTATGAGAGTGAGTGACATCTTTCTATCTTGAGTTCCTAATTATTCTTAAATTTGATGGTGTGTGGAACTACTCTCTTTTGTTGTGTGAGGGCACTTGATTCATGAAGGAAAGGTAATGTCAGTGACCTCTATGCTAGAGTAAGTAAGTTGTGAATAATGCGTGGTACTTGTGAGTCAATTCTTGAGGCGAAGATGTTACGCTTTTGTGCTTAGTCTATTTTAAGTATTCTTGGTGTGACGAGTTAGAAGAATTGTTTAAAAAGGTCGTGTCTATATAAAGTGTAGTTTAATTGCTCGAGGATGAGCAATGGTTTAAGTGTGGGGCGTTGATGGTAGGCTAATTACGTATTTTAGTCACTTATTACACTATAATTTACTGCACTTTAATTGAGTTTGAGCTTTAATCTCTAGTGTTTTGCACTAATGATGTGTTTTATGCCTTGTAGAAGTGATTTCGAACTATGTAGATGTTATGAAATGAATTCAAGTGATTTGGGCCAATCTAATTTTAAGACATGTACATGGATACATATATAATGTTTGCCTTATATATGGAGTTTAACCGTAGCATATATACCATTTGTATTAAGACTAGATAAGGCAAGCCCGTGCAATGCACGGGCCCAACGCAACTAACATGTTTCTATGTTTTTTTAAAAAAAAAATTGATAGGTAAATGCAAAGTTTTGTTGATCATAAAAGACTAAAAGAGCACCAAGTGTTGTTGAATATAGAGGGGATACAAATACAAGTAGGAGGTCTAAGAAATTCGTATTGTATACATCTTTCATTTTGGTTAAAGACAACCACAAAGCAAATATTTGTGTTCGAGTGTGTGGGATGAGTTTTCTTTATTTTTTAAACATATATGTTTCTTTCGTTCCAAACACCTAAAAAGTGCAAGATGAAATTGTATTCTACACATCTTTTACTTTGCTCGTCCATCCAACTTATGATAGCTTCTTTTGGGGTACCAGGCATCAACCACTTGAGTTTAAATAATCCTAGAAACGTGCATTATAGTTGAGAAGCAAAGGTAAATGTACTGTTTGTTCGATAAAAATCAATTACTTCACTGTACGATGACTTCCGCTTCCTCTAGGCACATGTAGCATCAGTGCAGTCCACTCCAATAGATTAATGTTGAAGATGCTTTCTCTTTTAAATCAGCCTCCAACTTCAAGTTTAAAACGTGCTACTACTTTCTGATAAATAAATTAAAAATAACCATTACAATACATATAAATCAAGCTTTGAGACATAGCTTACGCTCTTGTTTAGTATCCAAGGTTTACTTTTTTAAAATCATTGAAAATGTACAAAGTGAATGAGATTATCGGCTCGGTATAAGAACTTTTTAGTTAGTTCAAGTGACACATGCAAATATATACCTATAACTTTGAAGTTTAGCAATTCAACAACTCCATAAAACAAATGATGCTCTACGGTAGATTTAGATTTAGGATTTAAACTTTATGGGTTCAGATTCACAATTCTACCACATCTCATCTAATTTAATAGGTTCAAAATTTATTATTCATACATATTTAATAATTTGTTGGGCGAAAATACATGGTATGAGCAAAAATATGAGCAAAAACTATGGGTTCAGTTGAACCCGTAGCTTCTACATATAGCTGAGAGGACATAATGTGAAGACAACAAAGTATGAACTTAAATTGGTTGTAGTTCAACTTTCCCTTTAAAGGCCCTACTCATCTATACCATCTAATAATGCTTAGATCAAGAAGACGATAAAATAAGGAATCTATGCCCTTGATCTTACTAACCTAAAGCAGTTAATACCTCCATTGTTAATATAAAGGACCAGAAGACCAACAAAAAAATTCCACTACTAATGCAACAAATTAAGAATAAAAGACAGTAGGTAGATAAACACTTTCATCTTCCTCACAATTGCCAAGTATAATCTCTAAATAATAGATGAATCCACTAATCCGTATTTATCAAAATAGATTCACACAAAACTGTACAAAAGTTCATTAATCTCAAAGTTTTCTAATGAAATTACCAAAGGTTTCGAGTCTTAGACATTCCTACTCTAGCCATCATTGAAAAGGTTTACGCTAGAACTTTAAGATGTGAATGGCTAATTATCAAACCATATATAAAAAAAGAGAGTAAAACATGTGAACATATTAAAACCAATGTGAATTTCTTGTTATCTCCTTTTTTAGCATTATGTTTCTGGCTCCATTACAAAATTAATGGGAAGTTTCTCAATGCATTTTCTATTGCCTGTAGGCCTTGTACTTTGAAGCACACATTTTTGTACACCCTTATAGCTCAACTTCTTTTGCACAATTATATGGTTGAATGTGTAACTGGACTATGAACATCTCTAAGTACCAAATGAGTTGTTGCTGAAAAAATAATCAGCCTTGACAATTTTAATGATACTACATGAGTTGTAACCGTAAAAATAATCATCTTTTTAAAACTTAAACAAAGACCATAACAATTTCTTAAGTACTCTTGTTTGCGTGGTGGAGCAATTTTATATTAAATAGTAGTATACAATTACACGCATGCATTTATCTTTATTACTATGAGCTTTGATATATATCATGATCGGTAATATCAGCTCTTAACCATGGCAACATCACTAAAGCTTGTACATTAGAAGAATATTCAAGGTGCATACCTGTACATCAGAAGACAACAATATATCCTCGCATGTTTGGCAGTTGCCTGGCAAATAATTCTTCGCTCATATTAATCAGAAGACAATAGTCTATCTTCACATGTTTGACAGTATCCTTGCAACTCGAAATAGCCTGAATTTAGTATTTAGTACTTGTTGCTCGGCAAAACAACTAAGACTCCATAAACGTCTAACAGAAAAAACTATAATATCAATACCAAAACATATGCTTATAAATACCATCATTTTGAACACAAACATATTGAGTCCCCTTGATTCGTATTGAACTTTATATTGATGCTAAAGGAAAAGACACGAAGTCGATGAAAAAAAAAGAATTTGCTGAAAATCTCTATAAAAACCAATAGCTACAGAACCGGATAATGAAATAGATTCCTCATTGAAGGTTTCAGAACCTTTGTTTCCTGCTCATACTGGCAAAGTGAATACGCAACTACACACAAATAAAAATAATTAGTCCACCCCTATTCCAAAAGAAAGAAAGAAAGAATCCGTTGAGTTGCTGTGAATGAGTCCATTAATCTGAATGAGTTAAAAACAATATCTACTTAATAATGCTAGCTGAACTCAGTAAGGTTAATGACAATCACAGGAATATGAAACTCTTCTGCTTTAATCATTTTCTATAAGGATTTTTGTTTCGATTATATAATCAAACACATGATGGACTCTGTCTAATTAGCCCATTTTTGAATTAGTGTGGTTTCTCCCCTAACCTAATCTCCATTTTCAGACTTATATAACAAAAGAGTTAGTCGAAACATAGTGTACGTAAGCTGATTAGTCAAATCTCCAGAAAATTTGACACCACCACAAGAATCACGTGAGAGAACTTAGTACTATTATTTATCAGAGCTTCAATAAATTCACCTAGTACTATCACTTCAGGTGTAGCGTATAGCCATTTTAAAGTGAACTTCTAATCCCATTTTTATCTACTTGTCGTTATAATTATTCAAATATGTAACAGTGAGCCAAGAGGAAACAACGAATCAAAGAATAATACTTGTTCAACAATTGAAGGAATAGGGCAATTACGAACAACACTTAATGAGGGAGAGAAATTACTGAAGAGATGCCACAAATCCAGAAGGGTAATCGGACAGAATTTTTTTTTTTCCAATTTCACTGCGGCACTGCCCCTCCCTCAAAAGCCTTAAAAAGCAGATATCAAAGTTGTGGGTAAACACACTGCTCATTTATGAAAAGACCCAAATGCTTTGCACATTCACCTACCTCTTAGTTTTTTTTGGCCTTGATGAAGCAGAGAGTAAGCTAAACACTTATACAGAACAAAGAAGGGGAAAATACAAATAGAGAGGAATAAGAAAGGACGAAAAAAGTAAGAACCGGAGAAAGCATTGCGTGAGCAGACGCAACAAACAACTTTTAGGATTTAGCTAATTGACAATTTTACCCTCTGTCGACCATCATGGCTTTTCTATATAATAGAAATAGAAATATTTGAATTGCCTTAAAGGAGAATGAGAAGTCTACAACAAGAACAACAACCCACTTAGTGAGATTTTAGGAGGGTAGTGTGTACGCAGACCTTACTCCTACCCTGGGGTAGAGAGACTGTTTCCAAGTAGACCCCGACATCCTTCCCTCCAAGAACTTCCCACCTTGCTCTTGGGGAGACTCGAACTCACAACCTCTCGGTTGGAAGTGGGAGTTGCTTACCATCAGAGCAACCCCTCTTGTCTCGGAATGAGAAGTCTATACCTGCTATAACATATATTAGTAGAAAAAAGAAAACAAGAGATAATGAGTTAAAAGTGAAGGAACCAATGTGGTATACATTTCCTTATAGCCTGTTTGGCCAAGCTTTTTTGGGGGCCAAAAGTATTTTTTTGGCCAAAAATTAAGGTGTTTGGCCAAGCGTTTGGAAGGAAAAAAAAGTGATTTTGAAGAGAAGCAGAAGTAGTTTTGGAGAAGCAAGAAAAAATAGCTTCTCTCCAAAAGCACTTTTCTGAGAAGCACTTTTGAAAAAAATACACTTAGAAACAATTTTCAAAAGCTTGGCCAAACACTAATTACTGCTCAAAAGTGTTTTTCTAATTAATTAGTCAAACACAAATTACTTCTCATCAAAAATACTTTTTTTAAAAGTACTTTTGAGAAAAACACTTCTCAAAATAAGCTGATTTTAGAAGCTTGGCCAAACGGACTATTAGACTAATTTACCGTGACAAGTATTATAATATTGTTTCAGTTTGTTATTAGCAACCAAAAAATCCATTGCTCGACTTTTTATTATCTCTTGAAAATAAGATTTTGTGATCTGTCACTATTTTGTACCTAGCTATATATTTAATTCTTGATTAAAATGCTTCTCCATGCATATTACGTGATAGTTGATAAGTTTAAACAACTTAATTAACTCCGTATAAATTGACATATGAAGAGGTAAAAATATATACCTGTTATGAATAGTTTGTACATTGGATACTACTTTGGATACTACATTGGATACTACTTTGGATACTACATTGGATACTACATTGGATGCTACATTGGATATCCATGTTGTGAATAACTTAAAGATTAAATTTCCTATTTTATGTCCATCATCTTTACTTTTTATGNGAAACAATTATCGTTATTATGGTGGAAATAAATTGGAGAACAATAAGGGTTCTCAAATTAATCATTCAAAAGATAAAGCTAGTATGTGTCACTGATGTGGTATGAGAGGTTATTGGGCACGCATTTGTCGTACGCCAGAACATTTTGTCGAACTTTATAAAGCCTCCCTCAAGAAAAAAGAAAATAATATGAAGGCACACTTGACCTTTCAAAATAATGATGATGAAGTAGGTCCCTCAAATAAATATGATTCTAAGGCACATCTTGCATATAAAGATGATGATTTTGAAGGCCTAACAAATATTACTCATTTAGAAGTTGGGGCCTTTCTTTGAGGATATTGACTGAAGAACTAATCATCTTACTGGGGAATGAAGCTATAAAAGTTG